TTGTTTTCTTTCCGGTGTTATTGCCAACGACAACAGTTCACTCGCGTACTTTTACAAGTCACGAGCCGACATTTCCATGGTATATGAGGCAAGGAAGGCTTCAACACTAGCAATATATCAAGGTGTCTCTCTTCTCCACAAAATGGCTTGGTATTGTGCTCCATTCCAGATCTTACTCAGCCTTAGTATATCTTCAGTCTGCGGATTGTGTTCAACATTAGCAGCCTTACCTACGTAGCGACCCTAGCCATTTCTTTTTTTTTTTTCCTGTATTCGACATTGGTGGCTTCAATATATGCGGCTTTTAATAAAGTAAGCAACCAAAGTTTGACACCATTGTTTTTCCTCAATAATGTAATAATTAACGATTTCCCTCACACACACAACACACACACACACACACATACATACATACATATATATATATATATATATATATATATTATATATATATTATATATATATATATATATGCACACACACACACACACACACACACACACACACACACACACACACACCACACACACACACACACACATATATATATATATATATATATATATATATATATATATATATATATATATATATATATATGTATATTTATATATACGCACACACACACACACACACACCACATATATATGTATATATATATATATTATATATATATATATATATATATATATGTATATGTATATTATATATTATATGTATATTATATATATTTATATATATATATATTAATATGTATATTTATATATACATATGTATATATGTATATATATATAATATATATTTATATATATATATATATATATATATATATAAACATAATATATATACATTACATAATATATATATATATATATATATATATATATATATATATATATATATATATATATATGCATATACAAACATACATACATACACACACATCATCACCATCATCATCTTGGTTTCAGGCTATGGGCATGTTACATCATTCACAAGGGCCAGCTCACTAATGAGTGGCTGCGGGAAATCATTATTAGGACTGGTCCATACGCATCTCCCATATATAATTGATCACTTCACATGCATTCTCCACATGGATCCAGGCGCACGAGGGAGTTTACATTTGGCCATAGTTTAACAATATCACAGGTGAAAGTGGAGCATATTTTTGGTTTCCTTTGAAAGTAGAAATTTATAATTATGAATTTCTGTACCATTTCTCGCATTTCGCTATCTGCTTATGAACATTCTGCAAGCGTTCGTTAAGTATCTTTATAGACTTATCCGGTATCGGTGGAAGGTAATCCTGCAGATCTGGTTCGTATCGCCGGAACATTTTCCGAAGGCGATCTCCTACGTCCCGGCGGAGCACCAGTTGCCTTACTCGCTCAGCGGTGGACCGCCGGAAGACGCACACAGCCTTAAGAAGAGAGGCATGGAAAGTCTCGTATTTGTCTAAGAGTCGATATCCGTGCAGCAGTCCTGACTCATTATCCAGGAATACGAGTAAGCCTGTTTTTTGATGTCGTGCTAAATTGTGAGCAGGAGCTTCCATCATTTTAGGGTTCCACTGCATGTTATATAAGTTGTTGACCACGCGGTCCAGGTTGGCAGTGAGGTAATCAAATATGACGAGGTCAGACCACTGGGCTAATTCAATCATGTCCCGTGGATCTTGCCCTTCTACGTTCACTGGGTGTAAGCGTCGCTTGGCTTCTCGCAGGGACGCTGGAATAAAAGCAGGAACCAGACCTTCAATAAATCGTGTCAAAACAACGGGCCTTTCTTCCGTCCACTGCGCCAAGGCCAATTGGCTTCCTACGTTTGACCATTGCCAATCAGCTGCTTTTACAACCCCTAAAGCTGATGGTGGAACATTAGTCAACCCTAGTAACCTACTAAGGTAAAAACTGAAGATTTCTCCTTGAATTTGGTCATAGTTTTGGCGGTAGCGGCAGCATGATTTTGTGCCATTTTCAAAGATGACCAGCCTATTTTGCATACGTCCACATCCTTCCTCTAGTCGCACAACTGCATGTTGCCGCGTGAATTTGCGCCATTCATCCACTTCACTTTCAGAAAATCCTGGCGGTAATTTTTCTTCCACTGAATCGCCCCAGTAAACTCCTTCGACCAATAGGACTGCAGCTTCTTCGACATCGGGGGCATCAATCTCGGATGGTATTCGCTTCCACTCGCTCCGAAGGGCGTTTGGGCTAGCGGCATTGGCGTCGTTCGAGGCGCGAAGGGAGGGAATACTACTGTTGTCGTTGCCGATGCCTAGTTTGCTTGCGATGTAAGGTGACCAGGTGTGCTCAGGGGCGATGAGGCTCCGCGCACCTACTTCCTTCATCGGTTGGATGAAGGATCCTGTGTCCCGAGCAGCTTCCTGCCTGGCAAAAGCCACTTGAAACGACGAGGAAAGCGGCGAATGAACTAGAACAATGGGTAATGTCACTCCAACAGCGACGCCCAGCAGGAAGGCGAGCCCTGCAGCGACTACACAGGTGACGCGGGAGGAGCGGGCCGGCAGCGGCGTCGAGGGCAGTGAGATGCTGAAGGAGCCTGCCTCGACCTTCATGGTGCCGCGGCTCGGGAGACAAGGCCCTCTGCCGCCCCCTGGGGGAGGCCTAACTGGAACAGCAGGTGCCGGTCAGGCAACAGCTTCAGCTTGAATCATCACTCGCCGAGATCATAACCTACGGAAGATAGCGGTGGATATAAGAAAGTATAGACAGATAAATAACCTAGATTACAACACACCCGTAAGCACAAACTAATACACATTTGCACGTGCGCGCATCTGCACATAAACACACACACTCATAAACACACGCAGACACACTGTCCATACTCATATTCCTTTTGGTGTTATATGAACCTACACCAGTGAAGTCACAAAAAATATTTCGATCAGGACCTGCGTCAGTTTACAATAATCCGCACTCGTGATGGAACAATATGGACATTTTATTGGACGTTCCAATCAAATGGAACGTCCATTTTATTGGCTTATCAGTCATGAGGTTTGGTGGTTTATCAATCAGGGCAAATGAGCAATTTCAAGAAAAGTAACACCGACGAATAAAAAAGTTAGTTAAATGATTTTTTCTCGTCTTTTTGGCCAAAAGCGTCCTGTGTCATCAGTGGTATTTTCGTTGAATTGTGTCCTATATCTAGGTCTTTGTCACCGTCTGAAATGATGGTTGGAATAAAGCGCTAAAGAGGCAATTCTTATTTTTTATTCATATATTTATTTTTATAATTTCTGCATTACTAGAAATAAAAGAATGCATTATATAAGTACAAATAGCTTTCTCGCTATGAGGCTTCAGTCAATATCTTTTTGGTGTTAAGCCCATTAAAGCCATTTATTGTATATCTGTAACAGAAAACACAAGCAACGTGTCCTGTGGATGCAATAAGAGCAACTTCAGTGCTGTGAGAAAATCATACTTCACATTTTAGAAAATTAGCAAGGTTACTGTATTATCTGTGTGGGAATAAGTAAAACATAATGTTTGGTATGCATATTTTCTTCTGAAAAAGTTGCATAACCGCAAGGGTGGGCGTCGCGCTGTTGCGCGCCTTGTTACGAATCAACCATTGGCCTGTTGCTTCATGTGTCAATGTGATTTTTTAAATTAAATCCCAATGAGTGACAATATGTATCTTTCTACAAAATATGCTCTAATTCCTAGATGCTACTCAATTATTTTGCTTTTATTGGAAGACTGACTCGAAAATCTTGGTTCAAATATCCAGATAACGGATGTTTTAGATGATCAGAAAATAATAAACCGTCTTTTCATCTCGGTATATATGAATGGCGAGGCTGCCAACGGCATTTCAAGTAAACAAATGGAGTAAGAGCAGTTTGGCCTAGAAACAGCTGCATTTTAACATTTTGGCAGAAAGGAATCTAATGACCAGGCTGTGCTTGGGCGAAGCCTTAGGAACAGAATTTTCTGGTGTGCTGCTATCAGATTCTTTGTTATAATTATCATATTAGTAATGGCAACTCATATGTGAATGTGGGATGCGCTATTTCCTTTTCTGTAAAATATCGCAGTAGAAATGGAGAAATATCCGCAGTTAATGGATAACAATAAATCAAAATGGCCTGCGTTTACCTTAGTGCTGTATCACTAATGAGACGTTATCTTCGGCAGTCTTCACAATTTTGTCTGAGTCCTCGCGAAAATATCTTTTACTTTCACCTATGTGGTGCCGTGTGTGTGTGTGTGTGTGTGTGTGTGTGTGTGTGTGTGTGTGTGTGTGTGTGTGTGTGTGTGTGTGCGTGCGTGCGTGCGTGCGTGCGGGTGCGTGCGTGCGTGCGTGCGTGCGTGCGTGTGTACATATCTATACATAAATATATATGTATTTATATGTATATACATAATATATATATATATATATATATATATATATATATATATATGATATGTATGTCATATATAATCATATATACATCTATATAAATACATGCATACACACACACACACACACACACACATACACACACACACACACACACACACACACACACACACACACACACACACACATATATATATATATATATATATATATATATATATATATATATGTTGTGTGTGTGTGTGTGTGTGTGTGTGTGTGTGTGTGTGTGTGTGTGTGTGTGTGGTGTACATATGTCGGAGAAGTCTAGGATATCTTTATAGTATGTCGTCAGACAGCAAAGTTGCTGACATTGCTCAACGTCAGATCTTCTATGTCATACTCAACGAATATATAATACGATAAGATTCTTATTCTCAGTTGGTCAATTTAAATCACATTTTTACATCTATTATACATTGGAACCTAACTGAGAATTTATATATATTTCTGTCGATAAAACAATCAATATATATATTTAAGCTCCATATACTTCATAATTTTGGTCTTACAAATAACACACACACACACACACACACACACACACACATATATATAAGCAGATTAAATGCAGAAGTGACACAGTCCTATGTGTTTCTTTTCGCTATTTCTTTTTAAATCCTTTAAGAAAAGGCCCTCAATAGAGTCATCTTCCTCCCTGGGCCTGTCCAGAGGATCTCGAAGCCAGTCCAGGGCCCCGGATTCACTAACGCACTTACGATGGTAAAATCACTGGTAACTATAGTTACCATGGTAAACAGACCGGTGGTATTCACTAACAACTTGCCATTGGAGTTACCATGGTAAATTTTATCAGTGGCCAGAGCACTGGTAACTTTTGGGAAGACGATGTCATCACGTGTTATCTCGTCAAAAAATCAATATCTAAGCAAAGTTTTAGGTTTGTTTTTACACCTGATGTAACTAATATGATGGCAAACAGATATCACAATGCGGGCATAGTGAAGAAATGCAAATTTCCCATGAATCTAGCAAGAATAAAATCCACACAAATTCTCGTGAACTTATAGGCCTACATTATACTAGAATGCATGGAAACCGATAAATAAGTGAACTCTGAAATCTCTGACACAATTATTACAATTGCTATAGAAAAAATACCTTGCTGATATATAAACTGGCAATGATGAAAGCATATAATTAAAAAGCTGTTTGGACTGTCTCTTTGGTTTGAGTTAGCAATGATATATAACAATGTTTGTATTGGTTCCTATCTATACAGTAAATATATATCCATGATGGATATAATAAAAAAATAATATATATTTTTTTTTACATGTGCTTAAATAGTGTCTTAGCTCTGACGATTATTTAAACAATCTCGCTGTGTCTAGTTCTGTTTACATGTTACGTGATTGGCCGAATGAACCTAAAAGATTATGTATAGCGTTCGTTGATTGGTGGAATTGCTTTAGCAGAGCCCTCTGTTGGCTACCATTAGAATGAGTCGATTTACGATTGTAACTCAGCATATCCAAATTACCATTTCTTCGTGAATACCACTTTGCCATGACTGGTAAACGCAATGGTAAATGACCGCTGGTAAATGCGTTACGATCGTATGGACTGAGTGGGAGTCGGAAGAAGATTTCGTCAATATCAAGTCTGAAAAACTGAGCTACAGCCATGAGGACAGTGCCACTGCAGGCATCCTACACACTCACACACACATGTGTTACGTGCGTATGAGTGTATTTGTATGTGTATACAAATACACTCATATACATACATTTATATATATATATATATATATATATATATATATATATATATATATAGAGAGAGAGAGAGAGAGAGAGAGAGAGAGAGAGAGAGAGAGAGAGAGAGAGAGAGAGAATTATATATATGTGTGCATATATATATATAATATATATATATATATATATATATATATATATATATACATACACATATATGTGTGTGTGTGTGTGTTTATGTGTATATATGTGTGTTATGTGTGTATCATGTGTGTGTATTTGTGGGTGTGTATATGTGTGTGAGTATATGTGTGTGTGAGTATGTGTGTGTGTGAGTATATGTGTGTGTGTGTGTGTGAGTGTGTGAGTGTGTGTGTGTGTGGTGTGATGTGTGTGTGTGTGTGTGTGTGTGTGTGTGTGTGTGTGTGTGTGTGTGTGTGTGTGTGTGTGTGTGTGTGTGTGTGTGTGTGTGTGTGCGTGTGTGTGTATAAGGGGTATTTATTAAATGATTCCCCCCCCTCTTGCGCAGCATATACGAGAGAGGTAAAAACATATGCTATTTTCCAAAATAATCTACTTCTATAATTATATTTGGCCACCCGTTGTCACGGTCTTTTATATTCTGGAAGATTCGGAAAAGGCGCGTCACCTGGATCGCATTCGTTCAGTGACACCCCAATCGGCTCGTGGTGAGGGAGCGGCTTTCATCACTCGTTCGTGGGTTGCTCTGAGGCTTCAAGAAGCTTTGAAACCGTGGCATGGTTGAGCTAAACCTCTAGTGACGGAGCTGAACATCGGGGATTTTGAAACTGCCTATGCGATTGTTTTAGGATTTTCAGCCCTTGATTGCAGTGACGAATCATTCGTTTACCTTACTCGGAAGACAAATTCTCAAGATGACGTTAAATGGTCAAAGACTCCTTATGAGATTCCCGACATAATTGTCGAATCCCTGGACCGGGTTGGTGTTCCTATTTTAGTCGATAAATTGATGTGGATCATATTGTATATATAAACTCCCAAATAAATTCCATAAACATCAATAGAAATGTCAATTATGTATCTCTTTTATCATAGCCTGAGAAAAGGGGAATATCATTCAGATATACCTATTATACACAGACAAACACATACACATGCACACATACAAATACATAAACACATACATATACACAAGCACACACACATACACACACACATAAACGCGCACGCACACACACACACACACGCGCTCGCATGCACACACACACATACACACATACAAGCACACATACACATAACAACACACACATACACAAACACCCATACACACACACATTGCACATTCTCACAGACACATAAAGACATACACACGCAACACATACACATAGACATACAACATACATACACACACAGACAAACACATACACACATACACACACATGATACACATACATACACACACATACACATACACTCAAATACACACACGCACACAAACACGCATACATACATACATACATATGCACACACATACACCCACCCACACATGCACACACATACATATTCTCACATACATACACACATGCTCACATATACACACACATACATACAAACACACACACATACACGCCCATACACACACAAACACACATACACATACAC